GCTTGGTTATTATAGAATACCAATGCCCATAATTTTCTCCTCAGAGAAACACAGCATTGAGTATTCATTTATTTAAAAGAAAGCCAAAACTGCAAAGAAAAATGCAGTTTTAAGTATCATTTAACGAGTATCTTCTATAAGCAAAAAGACATGACTACTGTATTCTTATTTACTAATATATGTCAAGCTTAAGACATTTTAAAATAATCCCCTCAAAACAAAGGAAATCATTATTCTTAGAAAGTTAAATTTCCCAGAGTGGCTACAAACTGGAAAAAAAAAACCATATAAACAATTCAACATCTGTAGATATTCAAGGGGCTCAGCTTTCTAAAGCACACAGCTTACCCAAATTGTTAGCATACATTTTTTAAAGATGCTATCAATAAACATTTTATATCCTTTAAATCATCCAGCCAAGGGGGAGTTATATATGTGTTTGCACGCTTGCTCACTGCTGATCTTTAAACCCACTTTGAGGACACTGCTGAGTGATTTTCCTTGAGTTGAGAGCTAGCAAGTAATCATACATACAGGCTACTGTCAGCCAAACTGAATTATTAATGACAAACACAAATCTGCACACACCTTTCATGGTAGCAGACTGATTTAAAAGAATAAAGCAGCAGATGGCAGTCTTAACTTTCTAACCCTCATGATTATCAGGCCCTATTACTTTTAATCTAACTCCCATACAACCATGTCAGCATGTGTATTTGTTTTACAACTCACAGCCGGCCCGCCGCTTCCGGGGGCGCCAGGGCTCGGCGGTTGCGAGCCGGCACGAGGTGAGGGGTGCCGCATTCCTGAAACACCTGCGGGCACAAAGAAGAGACATCACACACAGTCACCCTTCGGTGAAACCCACACTGTCTCCACTCTGACCCCGCAGTCTCCTCACAGATACCCGACACTGTCTCCCCAACACCGACCCTGTCCCCCGACCCCAGGCCTCACCTCCACCCTTCTCTCCCCTGTACCTGGGCTGAAAACTTTGCATTGTTTTCCTGCAGATGCTTCAAACCTTCTGAGACCTTCACCCCAATGGACTCAGCTGCCAGCTCATAGGAAAAGGGGCCCTGGAGTTTCTCAGCCAGGAGCAGGATACCATCTTGAAGGAGGAGAAGAATGAGAAAGGGTGGGATAATGAGAAAGGAGTGATACTAATTGAACTAGGATGTTCCCACAAATCCTCATCAGGGCCTTAGAGGGAAGCGGCAAACTGCTGGTAGGGACTCACATGAGAAAAGCCCACCCCCTACGATCCCCCCCCCCGATCCCCCCATCCCCCCTCAGTACGGCTTTAGAGCCCATCCCCAGTTCACCCACATCTGCCCCTTACACAGACAGACCCCAGGCTCTCTTGAATCCTCTCACCCAGATAGCTGCTCCACTCAGGTTCTAGTCCCTTGTTGCTCAGACACCCACGAACCACATCGAGGCAGAAACCCCAGCAGGGCAGAAGAGAGGGGACCCCCTGGCAAAAGGGGCAGCCAATCAGACGCATCAGAGCCTGGCTACAGCTTTGAGACACCTCCACCTGGGAGAGAGAGCAGGGCTGTGTCATCCACAAACACTGTGGCTGCTCTCAGCCAAGGTTGGTGCTGGGCACAGAGAGAAGTCAAATACTCCACCCCAGCTTCCCTAGCTCTTATGGGAAAGCTGGATGTGAGCATCTAGGGTTGGTGACCCCAGGTGGCAGCAGGTGAGACCACAAGACTGCCAAAGATCTGAGGAAGGAGGTTCCTAGGAGCCAGGTTGTAGATGCTGCTTCATGGGAGGGGTGGAACTAGACAGGCAGTGGGAGAGTCTGAGAGAAGATTCAAGGTCAAGAGTGAGTCAATCATAGTTGGGGAGGGAGGAGACAGTGAGGAGGCAGGAGGTAAAGCTGGGAGGCCAGGGAAAGGATGGCTGGGTGGTGGAGAGAGGCAAGCCAAGGATCTTGCCTTCTTCAGCAGCAGGGAAGGAGGAGTCAATGAGGGATCCTGGGGGACCCAGGGAAGCCAGTACTCCAATCTTGGACCACTATGGAGATGAGCAGGCCTTCGGAAGCTGACAGGGGGGCATGAGTCATCAGAGAGCAGGAGAGGGTCAGAGGTGGCAGGAAATCATGGGTCATGACCCAATGGAGACTTCATTCCAGCCCCTCTCCTTCCTGCCAGGGTCTGGAGGCTGCCAAATGAAGGCCCCAGAACTCTCCTGCCAACTGGTGCCTGACTCTTCCTTATCAAGTCTCTCCCACTTCTGCCTCACCCTCCCTAGCCCCTACCCACACTCAGTCCCCCTCTAACCTTAAGTGCTTCGCTGACCATAATTCTTCCAGTCTCCAGGCCCTGGACAAAGGCCCGGGCACCCACCAGGGCCCGAGTTATCTAGGGGAAAGGAAAGAAGGTAAGACAAGTACAAGGTTGCCATGGGTCAGTCAAGACTGGGTACAAGAGACTGCATCAAGGGGATGAGCAGTGGAGGTTAGGTTTGTGGGATTGTCTTGGGTTGCATGAGTGTTGCGTGGTAGAGAGGCAGATTCAAGAGGCCCACAGGAATGACCATCTAGAAGGATCAAGGGGAATTGGGCTTGGCAAGAGATGAAGAGATTGTGTTATATAGGACTTGGAAATAGAGAGATTGTGTATCAGAACAAACACTGCAGTTGAAGCCAGAATACCTGGGCATGAGGCACAGCACTATTACTTACTGACTATGAGACCTTAACCTCTGGGAGCCTCAGTTTTTTCATTTGTAAAATAAAGATATCTACCTCACAGAGTTATGATGACAATTAAATGAGATACTATAAATGAAAATGCCTCTTAAATATTGGCTGTCTAATTCGCATTGAGTTGAACCAGAGGAAGTTTAGACGCTAGAATTAGGGAGGAGTTGGCAGAAAGATGGCTGCGGTGTTATGGCAGATGAGTATTTGTATGAAACTAGGACACAGAATGGGGATGGGGAGCATCCATTTAAAGAAGACTAAGGAACATTGGTCAGGCAGAGGTGACTGAGGTTCAAGATAGGGGTCACCAGATCAGAGTTACAGGATGGGGGGATCACCAGGTCAGGGGTGACTGGGGCACATTGGTTTGGAGGTGAGTGGTGCACAGTTCAGAGGTCACTAGGTCAGAGATAGCTGAAGCTCAGGCCTCAGGATCCCTCACCTGCACGCGGAGGCGGTGGGGTGAGTCCCCGAAGGGCCGCAGAGAGCCATCAGCAGTGGAGGCGAGGCGTGAGAGGCACAGCAGGTAGTCAGGGGAAAAGTTGTACTGTGGGTGCAGCAGGGGGAACACTCTCTCCAGGAGCTGTGCCCAGAAATCCGCCAAGATGTCCTCTAACCCCTCACCGGACACCCCGTAGTAGTCCCGCAGCTGAGCGAACAGGCCATTGAATATGAGTTTGTGCTGGGCATACAGGCGGCCATAGGAGTGGGAGAAGAGCTGGGTCAGGGAGTGCTGGGATACCAAGAGCATCTCCCGAAAAAATTCTGTAGCAAATGCAGGCAACGGGTGTAAGGGGGGGTGAGGCCAGAGAGGGGCAGAAAAATGAAAGGGCAGAGGAACAAGGGGATGGGGATGGGAAGAGAAAAGACAAGTGAGTTAGAAACAGAGCAATTCTCAGAGACCTGGGCAGACTAGGAATGAAGTAAGGTAGAGCCCTGGAGAGAGCCTGGGGTGGGGAGGGGGCTAAAACAGGGCTGGGAGGGGGTGGAGTGCCTTAGGAATAGAGTAGGGAGTGGGGACAGGAAGCTTCCTGGGGTCATAAGCATAGAGAGGAGGTATGAAGCCACATTTGGAGACCCCAGATCCTCACCATCAAATTTTCTGTGCCCAGCAGCCAGTGTGTGAACCAGAAAGGAGCCACTGTTCTCTACCAGGCCTTGGAAGGTGGCCTCAGCCTCCCTGGTCAGCCTCTGCTCTGTCTCACTGGAACAGCAGGTGTACTCCTGGGTACAGACCTGGAGGTGCTCACCTGGATGAGGAGACATGGAAGAATGATGGGAAGTATTATCATGAAATTCCTTCCATCTCATGCCTGTCTTGTGGGGCTGTCTCTTCTCTTCCACCTTTCTGGTCTCTTTTCTATTGTCTGTCCCCTCAACCTCATACCTGACCCTATCCCCTCTTTATTGTCCCCTCACCCATCCCAAGCTATGAGATCACCTATTTAACAACTGCTCTGAGGGCCAAATTAGTGATCAGAGTGTCCTCAGGTGACTTTTCTGAATATCACACACCCCAGGCCAACGGACTGGCCGGACATCCTCTATGGGATGAAGAATGGGGTTTGGAGGTATGAGGTTGCTTGGTGAGCAAGAAACTATTATCACAGAAGGGGCTCATAGAAACAGCGAGGGGCACAGGCTGTGAAGAAAGAAACACATATGGGGGGTGCTAATTAGGAGACAGGGACTCTTGGGGAGGGGGTAGGGTAAGATAGCTATTATGTGTACAGGAGGATTATTGTGATCCTGGCAAGGAAGTTACAAGAGGAGGAGAGTCATTACTATGGTATGAAAAGATTATTATAACAGTCACTCTGAAAGGGAAGAGTTATTGTGAGATGGGGAGGAACCGCCCCAACCCTCACCCCCAATTCTTTAGTCTTCCTCTTTCTCCTCACCTGAGATCAGAGCGGGAGGGATTTGGTTTAAGCTATATCCCCGAGACCTCAGCACCTCTCGGGTCTCTGCACAACTCCGGGTGACCTTTGCTTCGCTCCGGGGTCCAGGACCAGGACCGGGACACAGAGGTAGCAGCAGAAGCAGGAGAGGTCGCAGGGCGGACATAGCTGGAGCCGCCTTGGGACGGCAAAGTTGGTTCTAAGGAGGAAAGAAGAGCCGCTCGAACTCCGCAATCCGGTTCTCGGCCGCGGCACCGCTCCGCTGGCCAGAGAAAGAGCTCGGCGCCCGAAAAGTGAACCACCAGCACTATAGCTTGACCAGGCGGAATCTGCCGAGACAATGGGAACGGGTAGCCCGAGAGGGGGCGGAGCCCGAAGTGGGGCCCCGCCAATGATGTAAGAAGCCGGCCTCCCGGGCGGGGTTAAGGGAGAAATTAAGCCAATGTGATGGGGAAGCTCCGCAGGAGGGGTGGGACACAGCCCTCACTAAAGAGGTTGGCGAGATAGGGGCGTGGTCTTTCTCGGGGGCGTGGCGATACGGCCCGAAGGGCGGGGCCTGGGTGGAATTCAGCCAGTGGTAATTGAAAAGCCAGGTTGAACGGCTACTCTAGTCTAGTCAGAAGCCTGGCCAGGGTAAGGTGAAATTGGGAGAGGAAGGAGTGGGGCGGGGGCC